CTTATCGGTAACCTTCCCCCGCTTGTACCTCGGCGAACACCGGCTTTGTACCTTAACGGGTATCTTAGTAAGTGTTCATGGTTTCTTTGGTTATAAAAGTCTTTTGATTAGTTAAGCTATACTTTTACTTGTTTATGGGATCATCGTCCGTCCCCATGGTGGATGCTCTAATAGAAGGGCCCTGATAAAGACGGATAACCGTTGTTAACGCGATAGAGTAGTAGTCGATAGCGTAGATGTGGTGTCTAGGCTAGAGGCTACCTTCGTTTGCCTTGTATCCCACGATTGAGGGGTAGGCGGCAGGTGGTGACAGCCCTGTCCATCCCTTGTAATCCCCCATGTTCGGATAAGGCATAGAGCCAGACGTCGGTATTGCCTAGAAGACCAAGTGCGCTCCGGTGCCCAAAGTGAGCAAGTAGAAGTAGAGTTTATCTATCCATAGACCCTAAGCCATAGAAATCCTTCTCTACCCTCATCATCTATCCTTGTGTTGTCCTTAGATGAATTAGCTAGAAGAAATACCTCCATTCCCTGTAGAAATACAATACCCTGAATACTTCTGGGTGAAAGCTACAATGGTAGTTCCATACGCTTGCGAATTCTTTCTGTAAACGTTAAGAAATAACAATAGTTGTCATGTTAGGAGAGGACGATGGATACAATGCTCGATGAGGATGGCGAGCTCATGAAGCACATGAGCACAGTGCTTGGAGTTGGTGAGAAGAGGGGGCGAGGTAAGTTTGCGAGAAGTGGGACACCTCACCCCCCCCCCCCCAAGGTGGCTGCTAGAGACCTCATGGTGTCTGGCTAGACATTAATGGCACATAATGCGCTAGAGTAGTAGTCGATAGCGTAGACGTTGTGTCTAGGCTAGAGGCTACCTTCTTTGCCTCGTATCCCACGGTTGAGGGGTAGGCGGCAGATGGTGACAGCCCTATCCATCTCTTGTAATCCTCCACGTTCAGATACGGCGTAGAGCCATACGCCGGTATTGCCTGGCAGACCAGATGCGCTCCGGTACCTGAAGTGAGCAAGTAGAAGTAGAGTTTATCTATCCTTAGACCCTAAGCCATAGAAATCTTTCTCTACCCTCATCAGCTATCCTTGTGTTGTCCTTGGATGAATTAGCTAGAAAAAATACCTCCGTTCCCTATAGAAATACGATATCCTGAATACTTCTGGGTGAAAGCTACAACGGTAATTCCATACGCTTGCGGATTCTTTCTGTAAACATTAAGAAATACCAATAGTTGTCATGCTAGGAGAGGACGATGTTGTCATGGCCAACCATCACGACGACCAAGCTTTGGTTGGTGGGGACGAGGGATTAGAACATTTTCTAGGAGGTCGTCAGAGTCCGGCGTCTCTTATCAATGTCTAAAAGCACACCTGGTCTACCCAAGGGCTAATGGCCCTAGTGAGGACCATATCTATCATCTTGACCAGGAGTAAGATGTGCTACACTCCAATGTCAATGATGACAAGACCATCTTCACATTTGAGGCAGCAAGTGACCTGCAAGTAGTTTGTTTCTTGATCTTTTTAGGTGCTTCTCCAGTCTACAACCTGGCCTCCGAGTCAGAGGTTCTGTAGTGTTGTAGCTCTGCTACTTTACTTCTGGTCACTTTCTTCTCTTTGTTTCTGGTTTAGACTCTTGTATTTTTGTTTTGCTAAATGGAAAGTTGCCTCGTGTCAAAAAAAGCAACCTAGAAGTCGTTGCCAGAGCATTGAGGCGCTCCTTTCTAGAATCCAGAGCATGTCACAACATGTCTTGTCCATGTGCTCCACCTTTGATTTTGGAATCCAGAAGACTACCATGGAGTAGATAGGCTTCATGGATATGATCGCATTAGTCAAGATGAGGCAGGTACCTCTGGTGAGAAGTCTGATGAGCTAGGAGGGGATACAATGCTCGATGAGGATTGCGAGCTCATGAAGCACACGAGCACAGAGCTTGGAGTTGGTGAGAGGAGGGGGCGAGGTAAGTTTGCGGGAAGTGGGACACCTCACCCCCACCCCCCAAGGTGGCTGCTAGAGACCTTGTGGTGTTTGGCTAGACATTGATGGCACATAGGTGCTTGTGTGGAAGTTGATGGTAAGCCTCGTCAGATGTGCAGCTCGATGTTCATGAGATGGCCATTAAGATAGCTTTCCTGAATGGGGAGCTAGAGAAGTGGTAGATCTAGTGATCGACATGATGACATTGATCGATCGTTTGATGGGCTCAAGTTTGAAGAGATAGACCTTTGTTCTAGCTTTCAACTACTAATTGCTAATATATTGGTCAGGTCTTATAGGAAGGAAGACAAGGATGAAAATGATTGCAATGAAGCAGTTACATATTAGGAAAAGATTGTTGCATAAGATTAGTACCTATAATTCTATATCATCATATCTTCAATGACTTTGCATCTTCAAATTTTAGGAAAAAACTTAGTCTTTAGTATATATGGATAGTGCTTTTGGAAGTATAAGTAGCTTTTCCAATGATTATTTTTCTAATGTTTATTTAATATACATGGGGCTGTGTTCTTGGTCTCCCTATAGGCCCTCGAAATCACGGGACCAACACTGCAGGTAGCTAGCCGGCCGCCGAACCAGTGGCGGACCCAGTGGGTAGTCCAGGTAGGCCCAGGACTACCCATAAATTTGGCCCAAAATTCTATTACTACTCTTCAGAAACCGGCCCACGGTCACTCTCGTCTCAGCCCAGGCCGAAGACACCGCAAATCCACGAGATCTTCAAAAAAATAACGCGCCCGAGAGGGATCGAACAGGGTACCTCTTGCCTCGAGCTGCAGCGCGCTTACCAGTCCAGCTACAAAAGTTTGTTGGATAGGCAATTCCCGCAATCCTATTTAATAAGGAGAAACAGGGAAAAATACCCCTTAATTAATCACTCCTTGGTATGCGAAATCATATCCTAAACGACTTCCTTTACTAGTATGGAGGGAGTATTTATGTAAGTTTCGAACCTTTTAAATGTATTATCGTAATTTGATTAATTTATAGCTATATTTGTCGAACTTTTTATTTGGATTTTATAGTATTACATATAAATTTTTTTTTACTAGGAGTACCATGGTCTCGGATCCCGCGTCCGCCACTGTGCCGAACCATCCATTGCATTTGAATGTATGATCAGTGACACTGATGATGAGTGTCACAGCACAGGGACGGATTGACTGGGGTCGTCCTGACTGCCTGCCATGGCAGGGAGTACTTTGGTACGTACTCCGTACGCACTGCAGGATAGTACTCCGTATGATGCATGTTCCTCTGTTACTTCCTTTTGAGGCGGCTGCAGTCAGAATGCCTGCATGCCCGGAATAAATTAAACGCAGGCAGGCAGGCACGTACACAGCTGGGGCCTTCACGAATCACGTACGTACCATACTAGTAGCACAACTGCATGACAACATGTATGCATGCATGCACACCTAATTTATTTACGACGCCAGCTCACGTGTTGTAGCTAGCAACACTTATACATATACATATATATATATGTAGTAGTACACACTTCCTCCGTAAGTTTTACTGCTACATGCACTGCTGATATGAATGAATATGATCCGGCGCCGGCCGGTCGTCCATGCATGCATCCCAAGCCCAGCTGTAGTAGTCTCCGATCTGTGAGTGAGCTAGCAGTAGCAGTAGCACTAGCTAGGACGACAAACCTCATATACGTAACGTACATACGTACGTACGTCGTGACCGTGTAGTAAATGCACTACATGCATGCGTTCAAAGTCATGCATAAATTAAATATATAAGGACCACGCGTTGTCTAATCCCGTCCCTCCCATAACATATATTTTTTTCCGCGGTCTAACAATTTGCTGCAACTTCTCAATGGAGATATTTTTTTGCGAATGACACAACGCAACACTAATAGGTGTTTGGTTTGTGGAACGAGGCAGTCAATTATCACCCCACTCTATTTTTGTTTGGTTCGTAGAATGGAGTAAGTTGATGCGGACGCCACCTCATTCCTTGTATGCTTATAATAATAATAGGAGGACAGTGCGGACGGAGGGCAGCATGGGTGGGACAGGCAAAGGCAGCGAGCCTGGTGCGGATGAGATAGGCAGGCGTAGAAAGGGAGACGAGAGAAAAACCGAAAATGCTCCCAACATGGGCCTCTCAATTTTCTAGTTATTGGAAGACAAACCGTTTGGGGAATAAGTCTGCCATATATAGTTTTGCGTTTGGTCATGTTTCGACTTTTTCTCACTATATAACAAGCTGACTAAAAGCAATTGAAAACGGAGTTAAGAGCAACTTCAAGAGTCTCGTTATGTCCTTCCATATTGATAGGAATAGATATTTTAGCGAAAATAAGCTCTCGAGTAGTTTTTTCAGTTAAATCTTCAAATATGGTCATCCTTTATTCCGGTTTTCCTGCTAGATAAAGATAGAGAGCAGGAATGGTTCTTCAGAGTACGCAGAAGATGTAGAGAAACCATCGGAGAGTAAAAATATATAAAAAGCGATTTTTACTCGATGACTCTCTAGATTTAGAGATTGATGAGTAAGGAAAACTTTTTTTTTGGAGATGCTCTAAGAGATTTCGAAGAAGGAAACCTATAGACAGCTAGCTGGACAAAAGAAGAAGAAGAAGAAAAATGCAGTCCAAAGTGTGCGCGTACGGTAAAGGATTGCATGCATGGACTGTATGTATTGACTGCTGGTGGCCGGCCATGCACGCACGAAAGCAAAAGGATGGATGTGGACGGTGGGTCATGAGGCTGGTCTTCCCGGGTTTTAAGGCAGCAACCACCATCCACGACGTACGCAGGAGCAGGATAACTTCTCACTCGACCACTTGCTTCTCTCCTCCTCCTCCTGTTTAATTTGCCGCCGTCGTCTCCAATGCAACCAACCCGGCCGCCATATAACACTAGGAACACCACCTACACATGATCAGCAAGGCCAGCAAAAGGCCGGCGCTAGGTAGCTCCAACAGAGGTAGAGGCGGCTAGAGAGCCACCAGCCATATGGAAGACGACGATGAGACGAGTAGTAGGACTAGTAGCCAAATGCTGAATAACAATAGCATAGCCAGTCTTCTGTACTGCGACGAAGACCCTCTCGTCTCCACTACGCCGCCTCCACCTCCACCGGAGGCAAGTAGCTGTGTGGTACTGGTACCACCCCAGCAGCAGGCGTCAGTACTGGCAACCGTCGGAGATGTGGAGGAGGAAGATCATCTGAAGGAGCTTCTGGTGAACCACTTGGCCAGGCAGCGGTTCTATGCACCCACCTGCAGAGGCGGCTACCTGGAGCATCTGCTGACGCCACAGCAGCAGCAGCAGCAGCAGCAGCAGCAGGGATCCGCACCACCGGAAGCAGCGATCATCCCTGGTACTGGTAGCGCGTCCGGCGCTCGCTCCAGAGGAGTGCACTACATCATCTATGTAAGTATCTGTACTGTAGTTGGTGTTCCTATGGAGTAGTAGTATATATATAATTTCCTTAGTAACAAACCCTATATATACTAGTATATATATATATATATATATATATATATATATATATATATATATATATATATATATATATATATATATCACACGCACAAACAGAGGATCATCATCAGTGGGTTGTACATTAATTCACTTTGATGTGCATGTGCATGGTTGGGGTATACGTACGTGTATATACGCGTGCTTGCGTTTCTGAATGGATCGGCAGGCGTTTGGTAGGTTGGGACTGACGGTGGCGACGGTGTTCAATGCAGTCAACTATCTGGACCGATTCCTCTCCATCAACTGCCACCTGCAGGTGCGTGCGTTGCTGCCAATTAGTATAGGACCTAACTGTGTTTTTAATTATTCAGTTGAATCTATATGGTATCTCTGTTCGATGATATTATCCAAGTGAAAAAAAATGAAAGAAATGGATTGCAATAACTGATGGATACAATATATATGATCATGTGGTCATGTACTCCTGGTGCATATATGCAGTGTTGGGAGGCGTGGATGGTTGAATTGGTGAGCGTGGCCTGCCTGTCCATCGCGTGCAAGCTGGATGAGGTCAATATCCCTTCACTCCACCATCTCCAGGTACGTGTATGTACGACGGCGTTACATTACGTGCATGACATGCATGATCGATCCCTCCAACTGCATAGTGCATACATGCTCCATTGCATGCATCCACATGCACATGCCATGATGCCGTGCGTGAGTCCTGCCAGCTGCGTCCGCGTTCATTCTCCCATCCGCCATAGTCGTATGCATGATCCAACAACACTGAACTGATGAGTTGCATGCATGCAGAGCAACAATGTCGAATTCAAGCTTCATTACGTAACCTTGCATTCATAGTAGAACATGCATGCACGGCAACACAGATCCCATCCATGCATCTATCACAATTCACAATTTAATTAATTAATTTGCATTGTTCTTCCAAATTAAATTAAAAACATATATATATGCATGCAGATGGAAGAGGTGATGAGCCACTCGTTCCTGCCGGCGACGGTCCAGGACATGGAGCTCACCCTGCTCAAGGCGCTCCAATGGCGTCTCGCCTGCGTCACACCCTACTCCTTCCTCCAGCTCTTCCTTTCCCTTACTCCTCACACCACCGTAGCTGTAGCTTCTCACTGCACTCGTCTCCTCATCTGCTCGCTCACAGGTAAATCTATCTATTGAGGCAAATTTTTTACGAATGGTCACTAAACTTGCACGATGGTGTCATTTGAGTCCCTAACTCTCGATTTTGACATCCAAGTCCCTGAACTTTTATTTGGTTGTCACTTGGGTCTCTAGCTCTTAAATTTTGATATTTGGATCCTTGAACTCGTACAATAATGTCATCTAGCAGGTCCCCAAATTTGCAGATCAACATACAATTAGCATGCTCCATCAGCACCATCTGTGTGTTGATGTACAGCTTCGGAGACCTACTAGTAGATGACACCGCCAAACAAGTTTTTGAATCCAAATATCAAAATTTGAGAGTTGAAGACCTAGATCGATGACACCGGCGGCATGTAGGTTTAGTGACCGTTAGTGAATTTTAGTCATCTATGTGAAATCAAATCTCCTGTTAATTTCATTTTGTACGTCTTCTCTAGGAGCAGTAATGTGCCTGATGATTTTTTGAAACGAATAAATGTGCCTGATGATGAACTAATAAGTAGCAATGTATTAATTGTATCTAGTTAATTGGATGTGCAGAGCCCTCGTTCATCCGGTTTGATTCCTCCGTTATCGCCGCCTCTGCTCTTCGGTGTGTGGCGCTGGAGGATCGTCACCGTCATCATCAGACTTATGGCAATATCAGCCACCTTATTCGTCCAGACTGCTCTGCAACTGCAATGGTAACTCTGCCAAGCATCCATTACCTTCAACTGTGTACACATCATTACGATGCATGTGTAGAAAGAATAATGAGTGAAATAAAGAAACCTGCCATGCATTTCTTCTCATGCATATATACTGGCCGCGGAATTAAACTGGGTGCATGCAGGACGAAGCAGACGACGGCGATGAGTGTTTCAGGATGATGGAAACACTCTACGCAAGCTGCTGCTCGGAATCCGCCGATTGGAGCACCCACCATCATCAGCAGCAGCCCCTGTACAGTAGTGATGAGCGGCGGCTGTGGAGCCCGGTGTCAGTGATTCGTCGTCGTCCCTTGGGACTGGAAACAGCAGGCGGTGGTGGCATCAGACTAATCAACAGCAGCAGTTCAGCTGTTAGCTGCCGCCGTCGCTTGTTTGGTTCATCAGCATCAGCACCTCAAGGCAGTACACAATTGCAAGACGATGGTGATAATACACACGTACGAGATGAAGATATCTCTCTCACACACACATAACTAACTGACCAAATACATTGAAAGCATTATTATTACTCTGGGTCTGGGAGCACACACAACTCTCTCTATATATACCAGCATTATACATATTGTTTCTTCATTCGCTTTACTGTAGCTGTTCCCACAAATCACCTGCACATTAGTACTTACTTGCGTTGTCTGTCCTACTGTGTTAGTAACAGCATTCATTCGTTTGTAATATCCGATCGTCCTTAGTGGCACACGCACACGTATTTGGGTCTTGTTTATTTCAAGCTTTTTCTAATCTTTTGTACAAGCAGATGTCTGGACCATTTCATCATAAATGTGTTGTGCAATTTACATTTTTTTATAACTGTTGTGCAATTTACATTGGCCAGAGACCAACACTACTGGTCCGTTTGGAATAATCTTCAGCTTTTTTTTTCCCTGAGAGGGACTGGCTAGTTAGTACTACTTATTAGTAGTGATCACTCCCTTCTGTGACAAATTAGGTACTGTGTTAGGACACCGATAAAGATCTAAAAGAAAACTTTGATTAGCACACCTTTTATCAAAAATATTTATAGAACATAGCAAAATTATATTTTTGTGAAAACGCATTTCTATCATACCATTTCCAAATAACTTATATAACAGATAATAATTGTCGGTGTTTCGGAACCGGGGGTCCTTAACCGACTAGTGAATTTGTGCTGCGTGCTCCCAATTCCGGATAGTGATGCAAAGAGACACAAGGTTTATACTGGTTTGGGCAATGGATGCCCTACGTCCAGTCTGAGAAGATGTTCTTGTATTCCTTGCACCGGGGTGCTCGTAGTAGGAGGTTACAAGCTAGGCGAGAGAGGAAGTTCGTCCCAGGTCTCTGTGAGGGGAGGAGATATGAATTACAGAATGAGGCGTGTTGTTCATGCGAGTATTCGTGACTCTATCCGCCGTCCCTAGAAACGGTCCTGGCCGCCTCCTTTTATAGCCGCAGGGAGGAAACCAGGAGTACATAAGAGAGCTACACGTGGAGCGGACTATTCGATGACGTATTTACTCCTGGAGCAGCATGGTGTTGTCGTGGGAGTTCCCGTAGATGTCTAATCGGTATGGTCTCCACTGCAAGTAACATGCTGCGCATTTGTTGACTTGGTGGATTACAGAGGCTCGGCGGCCATCGTAGCCGGTCGTGCCGAGGCCTGTTGTGCCGAGGCCTGCCGTGCCGAGGCCTGAAAAGTGACCCAGGTGCAGATGCGGGTCTCAGCGGCCATCAGGCGGAATAGTGCGAGACGTGCGCCTACAGGATACGGTACCTGTATTGTCAGTAAGGGATGGTAAAAAAGGTGATCTGACCGTTGTCCCGTCGCTCCTGTTGCAGCGCACTGCCGATCGTGGCTTACGTAGCGGGTGCAGCTGAGCGCATTAATTGGATGCGACAGCCTGCCAGAGAGACCTTTGAGGTGGAGGCGACGAGGTTGCGGGACGAGCCCGGCCTCGGGCGAGGCGGAGCGCGGCCAATTCGTCCGAGGCCCTACCGGGGGGGTCTCGGGCGAGGCGGATGGGCGAGGCGGAGTAAGATCAGTGAATCCGAGGCCCTGTCGAGGGGGCTCGGGCGAGCCAGAGCGGTCGGTCCGCTGATTCTGAGGCTACTGAACCCGTTCGACTCCCGTTCACGCTATGATGTCCTTGGCGCGAGTTAGGCGGCCACGACAAAGGGTCGGTAACCCCGCTGCTGTAATCGTCGCATATGGCAGGAGGTTGACGCGACTGGCGTGTAGTCGGTCACTTCGCTGTACTGTGGCATCGTGCGTCTGTCGGAGTGGTTGGGCGCTTGGATGCGACGTTCGGTCAAAGCAGTTTGGTCGAAGAGGCGGTCACGGGGCTGGTGCCGAGCCGGCCTCGCGCGAATCGAAGAATCAGCACTTCTTCCGAGGCCCCGAGCGAGGGGGCCTCGGTGAGGTGGTCTCGGGCGAGTCGGAGAATCGTTCGCTTCCGCTGGGGCTCGGCGACGGGGTCTCGGGCGAATCGGAGATTTCGGCCGAGACCTCGTTTGTTTATTCCATTGGTTCTGCTCTTAGGGTCTAAGCATTTTTTCGATCTTTGCTTGGGGTACCCCATTTTTTAGTATCCGACAGTAGCCCCCGAGCCTCGGGTGGGAGTGTGGGATACTCTCCCCGAGGTTTTTTCGAGACTTTTGTTTCTCGGTGGCTCTTGTCGGGTTTGTTTTATACTCACGATTCTGGTGGGTGCGCGCGAGCACACCCGCCGGGTGTAGCCCCCGAGGCCTTAGAGGAGTGAGTTTACTCCTTTAGGGGCTTTTTCTTCGTTGAGTAAGGCGCTCTATCGCATTCGCTAGACCCATGAGAGCGAGCTCGGGTCGCTTGTTTTCGTTTGGGGTGCAGGAGGAGCCCCCGAGCCTGCCGAGCCCTCGCGTGCGATCCTAGGTCGCTGGGTCTCGGCAAGGTTTGCAGGAAGAGCCCCCGAGCCTCCACACGGAGCGAGAGGGCGGTCAGGAGTTCTCCTGGCTTCTTGTACGACCCTCGCGCATCCTTTTCGTTCGGAAGGAGGGGTTGTTTGCCGAGCCCTTCGTGTGCGAGCCTAGGCCGCTGGGTCTCGGCAAGGTTGCAGGAAGAGCCCCCGAGCCTCCGCACGTAGCGAGAGGGCGATCAGGAGTTCCCCTGGCTTTTTGTACGACCCTCGCGCATCCTTTTCGTTCGGAAGGAGGGGTTGTTTGCCGAGCCCTTCGTGTGCGAGCCTAGGCCGCTGGGTCTCGGCAAGGTTGCAGGAAGAGCCCCCGAGCCTCCGCACATAGCGAGAGGGCGATCAGGAGTTCCCCTGGCTTTTTGTATGACCCTCACGCATCCTTTTCGTTCGGAAGGAGGGGTTGTTTGTCAAACCCTTCGTGCGCGAGCCTAGGCCACTGGGTCTCGGCAAGGTTGTAGGAAGAGCCCCCGAGCCTCCGCACGTAGCGAGAGGGCGATCAGGAGTTTCCCTGGCTTTTTGTACGACCCTCGCGCTTCCTTTTCGCTCGGAAGGAGGGGTGGAACATGTCAGGCTACCCTCGATGGGCGCGAGCGGTGACATTTCCGGTGAGCTTTTATCGGGTAAGTCCGAGTGGAGGCCCGTGCCCCATTCGATAGGGGTCGGCTAGTGGTCCGTCGAGACGCGCCTCCAAAAAAGTACCGAAGGCTTCTCTAGCGGGTGCCGGGGCGTTCGATTGGCCCTAGGGGCTCGGTGCCTCCCTACGGTGGGATCCCTTTAGAGAACTCCTGCTTGGTCTCGAGACCACGACTTAGGGCATCCCAAGCAATCGCTTGCACAGGCCTCGGCCGTGTCTGGGCTCGCCCATAGTTGTCCCCGACTCTGTTGTCCTGGGGCGGCCGTCGAGGCCTGGATGGCCCAACCTTCACTACTGGATCGTAATGGGCTTGGTGCCCTTTTTTCGCGCGTTTTTCCGACCCTCGGGGTGTGAGAGGTTGCGGGAAGAGCCCCGAGCCTCCGCACGTGCGAGAGAGGCGATCGGGAGTTCCCCGGCTTTTTGTACGACCCTCGCGCATCCTTTTTCGCTCGGAAGGAGGGTTGTTTGCCGAGCCCTCATGCGAGCCTAGGTCACTGGGTCTTGGCAAGGTTGCGGAAGAGCCCCCGAGCCTCCGCACGTAGCGAGAGGGGCGATCAGGAGTTCCTCTGGCTTTTGTACGACCCTCACGCATCCTTTTCGTTCGGAAGGAGGGGTTGTTTGCCGAGCCCTTCGCGTGCGAGCCTAGTTCGCTGGGTCTCGGCAAGGTTGCAGGAAGAGCCCCTGAGCCTCCGCACGTAGCGAGAGGGTCGATCAGGAGTTCCCCTAGCTTTTTGTACGACCCTCGCGCATCCTTTTCGCTCGGAAGGAGGGTTGTTTGCTGAGCCCTTCACATGCGAGCCTAGGTCGCTTGGTCTCGGCAAGGTTGCAGGAAGAGCCCCCGAGCCTCCGTGCGGAGCGAGAGGGCGATCAGGAGTTCCCCTAGCTTTTTGTACGACCCTCGCGCATCCTTTTCGCTCGGAAGGAGGGGTGGAACATGCTAGGCTACCCTCGGTGGGCGCGAGCAGTGACATTTCCGGTGAGCTTTTATCGGGTAAGTCCGAGTGG